ATGTACCACAGAATGCTTTATCACCCGACGAAGACGTGCTGCATCTTGAAGGATAAAATCCAAGCTTTATTGGACGCAGGAGTCATGACCCTTCAATCTGAATAAAAGAAGGTATCTGCAAACATGGTCTCATTGTAGTGCATAGGCTTTCCGGAGATTCTTGTCCAAAATGGTGTGAAACCGATCCCACAAGCAGAGACTAGGGTCCTGAATCTTGATCCTCACCATCAAAAGGATAAGGGTATGGTTCCTTACACTACTCCAGAAGGCGAAGTCATATGGGCCCATCCTGACCTACTTGTAGATGAGCAATGGGCATCGACAAGTTCAAAGAAGTCCAAGACAAAGCAGAGTCCTGTAATGTTATTTCTGTCATCCCAAATGAGGAGGTTAAAACTACTTCCCTCAGTAGTTCCGGTGATGAACAACCAACATTCACTGCACAACCTGTTCAGACATTAGGGACTCATGGTGGAAAGGAGTATTTAAAAAAATACCCTGAGGCGGGAGACAACTCGCCAAAGGCAACAGAAGAAGCAACAAAGAAGGCACAATTACCCGCCAGTGATCTAAAAGCGAAGGAGCTCCGATATAATAAAGCGCTCAGGAAGGAGACTCCTGAAAGCACAAAAAATCCTTTTCAGTTCGATGTGTTGGCCCAGCTAGCTAACATCCTGACAAGAATCATGTTGTTTGAGCTCCTGCGTTTATCCAGATCAACTAGGGAAGCCCTACGTGAAGCACTGGCAGATAATGAAGCATTCCTGGCTCATATTCCACTGATTCCCACAGAGGAAACACAAGAAGCATGCCCTCAATGCCACCAAGTCTTTAGAGGACGGATGCCCCCTATATATATGTAAATATGTGTGTGTGTGTGTGTGTGTGTGTGTGTGTGTGTGTTTCACATCTCAAAATCTGGAGTACAACAAACTGGTCACAAATAACCATTGAGTTTTGATTCTCCCGTTTCAGTTTTTCCTCCAGGGCACATGTTAAATCTTCCCCCAAAGTGATAGCTATAATGTTGAATCTAATAAAAGAATAAAATATATATTTAATATTTATGTTATAAGAAATATTTTTGTATTTTTCATATAAAAAATAATAAAATTGTAACTTAACCATTTATCATGCATTGTAAAGTTTCTAAACAAAACTTTTTTTCATTTCTATCCATGCTATCAATTGCATAAATTTCATCAACTATTCCACTCATATCTATATAAGAAAATAATTGAAATTTAGTATACTTTGATATACATGATAACCTATGAGGAATATAAATTTAATGGATACATATAAGAAATTCTTTTGAATTAATTCTTGATTCAATCTATCCGTAAGGGAAAAACTCGAATTTGTATTTTTATATATCATCGTCATCCGCCTCTACGACCTTGATATTTGTACGATAATACAAATGAATAGATACCATTGTGGCATAGTGCTTACTATTTTGTATATCTCATTTGTAGTAACAATCTTTATGTTTGAGAAAATGTGAATTTTTCTTCTTGTATTAATTTCCTAAGTCATAATACATCATTCTCATGGTAAAAACCATGTACATGGGTGTTTTGTTAAAAATTAGATAAAATACATCACAGTTAAAGTAAATTTGTATTATTTAAACTTGTAATTATCAATATATATATAATTTTGAATGTACCGCGTTATTAAGGAGAATAAAGTTAATTCCAGTGAGACTCTTGTGTTTGCGTTTTGTCCTTCCTATGTTAGAGCGATTCTTTCTTTCAAGATGACATCATTTTCATCTACCTGAATCTCATTTAATGGTGTGTATGATGTAATTTTTATTATTTTTCCTAACATCCTGATAAAATATCTACAACTTAATTTAATACGATTACTATTTTAAATCAAATGATGCTATGAATTAATTAAATTAGTGATCATAATGAATAAAATATCATATTATAATTTTTAAGAATTTTATTAATCATTAACAATTAGCAAAAATAATATGTCAATCTCTCAAATTATAAAAATTCCATATGAATTATGTAATTAGTTTTATTCTAGATTAACAATTGATGATAACAAAATAAAAAATAATTTATAATGCCACCAAAACTTAGCTTAATTTATACAAAGATACTATCTGGAATTATAATAATAAAAAATATGTAATCAATTTATTATATATTGAAAAAATTATATAATCAAATCCTAACTACCTTCAAAATTATTTATATACAATTATAAATTTTTAGCCAATATAGTTTTCAATCAATATAACTTTCATCTAATATAATTTTCATTTAATATTAAAATAATTTATTGAAATATGTTTTAAATATTAATTTTAACAATTGGAAAATATAAAATAATTCTCAACATAATTTTATCATAATTATCCATCTTATTTTGTATAAGCATTAAATGTATTAGATATTAGTTCTCCCATAAATAAAGTCCTATATTGTTTATATAGAATAATAATTAAATTTTATTTATAATTCTGTAAACTATTACGCTATAAAGACAAATATTAAAAAAATTATAAAATTTAACTTTTAAATGCATAGTTCATGTTTCAGAAAAATCAAAATAATAATCAAAAATCCAAAAATCATATCGAATAAGATTTTTTTAGAAATAACTAAACATGTTTAGAAATATATAAAAATAAAAATCATATTAATAAACTGTGAGCGATTGAAACATGCTGAAATTTTATATTATGGAAGTAAAATAAAAAATAACGAGAAGTTTCCAAACTCATTTATTGAAGTTATCTCAGATCTTAGCATTTCAATCCAACCATTTTCCAATCACGACTTGTGATTTTAAGCATAAAAAAATGAAATAAGATACAATCATAGCTTATGATAAATGAAAATTATTCTATTAATTATGATATAAAATACTATGTTCTAAATATTTAATAAATAAAAATTAATATCACAAATTTTGAAAAATAAAAAACTATGAATAAAAATAAAAATTAAGAACTATTTAAAAATAAGAAAATAGAAAATCCAAACTAATTAAGGTATTCATTAATCTCATAATTACTATTTTTGAATAGTTTTGAAAATTAATTTACTTTAAAAATGCTATTAATTTTGTAATAAATTAAGAAAAATGGGAACATGATCTAAATTTGGTATCTTGAATTTGTTAACATAAATTTGGTAATTTGAAATTTACCTAAAATTTTTCTACTATTTAAGTTAATTTTTAATGAAATTATTTAATGTTTAACCCAATTTGGTATAAAAATAAAATTTCACAACTATGTAAAAGTGAAAAATAAAAATTCAAATTAAAATTGGAAATTCTTAAGGTAAATTATTTTCATAAAAATTCTAATTCTAGAAATAATTAAAAAACCAAAAATTATCATATATTTGAAATCATGAATTGTTGATTTACATGAAATAATTTTGAATTTAGTAAATTTTTACAAATATCTAAAATTAAAAACATCCTAAAATTCAAATTAATATATAATATATATATATTATATAATTGCTATTTTTGAACAGTCAATATCTTCTATTCTAATGTATTCAATAAATCAAGTCTAGAAAATTGAATCAAAATATTCATCGATTATGAATGAAAATAACCATTTGATATAAAAAATATTTAACATATTAAAATAAAAATAAATATTAAGTAGTTGAAGAATAAATACATGAATCTTTTTTCTCCAAGCAATAAATGTGCCTTAGGTTGAAGATGGAAAAAGCAATGATTTTTTCCTAGAGTAATTTTATCCCGATAAAAATTAAAAGTGTAACTATTAGATATAAAAAGATATTAAATATATTAAAATAAAAATAAATATTTTGGTAGTTGTAGAATAAATAACTAAAATTTTTGTCCTCCATGCAACAAAAGTGTCATGGGTTAAAGATAAAAAATCAGAGTTTTGTCCCTAGAGTAAATTTTTTTGATAAGAATTAAATTCATAAAAAAAATTAAACATATCAAAGTAAAATAAATACTGGATAGTTGTAGAATAAATACCTAAATTGTTTTTCTCCAAGCAACAAAAGGGTCTTTGGTTTAAGGTAAAAAATTAGAGATTTTGTTCCCTGGAGTAATTTTTTCCTAGAAAAATTAAAACCACAACTATTACATATAAAAAATTAATTAAATATTTTAAAATAAAAATAACTATTTTAAGATTGTCAAATAAATAGCTGAATAATCTTTCTCTATGTAAAAGTGCTTTCGGTTGTAGATAAAAAATGGAAGAATTTTTTTGGATAATATATTTTATGAGAAAAATTGAAACTAAAAAACAAAACATTTTTTCAATAATATTTTTTTCAAGAAAAATAAAAACTAAAAAATCTTGTTTTTGAGAAAAAAAAATCAATGAGATTCTTGATTGGGATTTGATACTATTTGTGAGAATTAGAATTAGTTATAAAAGATATTACAAAAGATGCGGTGATTGATAATAGGGAAAAATATGTCTAGGCCTCAAAAGTAGAAACTTGATGTGCTGCAGCCCATCTTAGTTTCCCCCATGTGATTCAGCCCCTTGAAGTGTGACACTTTGTACTGCAACTCCTTTTTAGCAATTATTACATGTCAGCTAAGCTAAAATCTCCGTCACACTTCAAGGGGCTGAATCACATGGGGGGAACTAAGAGGGGCTGCAGCACATGAAGTTTCTGCTTTTGGGATCTGAACACATTTTTCCCTTTAAATTTTGTTTTCCCCTTTTTCTTCTAGGACCCCTGTCTAAACTTTCTCTATGGTACATCTACACCCACGCGAACATTTGTCCAATAAAACACGTTTCAAATATTTTAAATTCCACAGTAACCGCTTAAAATCACAATTTAAAAGTACTGTTTTGGATTAGCCTATAAATTTAAAAGCACTGTTTAGGATTAGTCTATAAATCATCTTTATTTGACTTTTGCTCTGCCAACCACAACAAATTACCCCTTTGAAGACCTACCACCAATACGCGTCGGAGGGGTAGACACGAGGAAATGATTTTCGTCAGGGTCCTGTGTGCTAAATACCCACGAAGGAGGGAAAAATTAGGGTTTTACAAATCATCTCCATTTCGATTAATCATCACAGCCGAGAATTAGACCGCGCTTTGAAGATGGCGATGGTGCTTCGTTCCTCTCGCATCGCTTCTCGATCGATCCGAGCTTCAAAGAGTCTCATCGTTCCCGCCACCGGAGCCACCTCGTCTCCGATCAATCCTCAGTTCAAGGTCTCTTCTCGACAATTCATCGATCTCCATAAGGTCAGGCTGTGATTCCAACGTTTTGATTAATGCAGGTGTCGAAAATTTCTAAAAATTTTTGGGGGGTTTTGATTGCAGATGGGCAACAAGGAGGCAATTGAGAAGGAAAAGGCGAGGCTGTAAGCTTTTCTTCCTTGTTCTGTTTCTTTTTACTTTGATATAGGTTAAATCAAGTAAGAGTGACTGCTATAGCTTGTTGATATATGAAAATTAAGTAGTATTTTGTTGGATTTTAATAATTGAATGGTAAAATTTGTGTCATTTCTAAGTTGAGCTAGGATACTAATAAAACAATCCAACATGTGTATATCAATTTCTATAAACTCAACTCTAAAATTTCGATATCCCGATTAAAAATGCATGCTCTTGGACAGTGAAATAATACATTACTACTCACGAACTACCTAAGAACCTCTAGTGATTTCAACGTCTTTTTGATCATGAGCAAAACATGACCATGAGCCAAAAATTAGGCACCTGTGTGAAAATTCCAATATGTTGATCTTGACAACAGATACGACACGCATGTAAAATATGTTGAACTCATTCGAAAGTTTATTCCGAGATAGTTTATGTGCAATAGATTACATTTAACATTGTGGATTTTCAATTTTGAATCCAAAATAGGCTTGGATTGATAGTATCCACATTTATATACTATTAATAATAGCATACCTCAACCAGTGTTTTCAATGTGCGAGGCGTAATGCGGGGCGCGAAGTCAATTTACGCGCACATGCGCAAGGCACAATGGGATCCGCGCATCTGAGTGAAGCGAGGCACACTCCGGACACATAATTTTTCAAGATATACAAACATGCATGAAAAAATATGTATTTGTGAAATTTCACATGAAAAATATTAAGGACTCAAGATAAATAATATATACTACCAAATCACAAGTATTAGCCATTGAAGCAAATCAAGTAGTGTACTAAAACAAAGCAAAATAAGCAGCTAGCACACCCAAGAAGTTCACTAACATTGAAGCAAAACAAGCAGTCTACTTACAAAAAGCAAATAATTAGCAAAATAATAGTCGAATCATCCTCATCTATTATCATCACCCCCTTCAAGTGGAATATCTTCTTCTTCAATTTCCTCATCATTGTTAAACTTTTCTTCATCTTCCAACTCTTCCAGCAACTAGAAGTCTAGACCGGCTCGATGCTTCTCGATGATGAACCAATACCACTTGAAGATCCTCAAACCCTACTTGTTGACCTTAGATATCTAACATTATCTTCTTCAGCTCCCATTGCATCTCCTACGATACCATAAGTATGGTCGTCCTCGCCCTCCAAGTCATTCTCTGCATTTTTACCTTCACTGACCTGAACCACTCATTACTTTCATCCATATCAACCTACTTGATCAGATTAATAGAATCTTTACAGTTAAGTCTCTCCTTCAAAGCTTGGTTGTATTTACAGTAAACTAGATCATGCAACCTCTTATGATCCAGCCTATTCCTCTTCTTCTAGTGTATCTATAATTTATACAAATCAATGAAATCAATATACTATATCCCTAAGGGAAGTAAATTTATTTTATTGAATTAAATAAAACTAAATATACATGCTTAAAAGTACTATAATTTCTTTCATAGCCAGAGGAGTTACAAGGCTGAGGATTATAATAGTAAACTTCTGCAACTCTAAGCTAATGCATCATAAGACTCCCCCCTAATTAGCTGTCAATTTAAATAGAGAGTGATTAGCATTGTATTTTCTACACAAAAGCTAATCAATTGAGGGACAGGATTATGGTTATTTACTCGAAAATTTCTTCTTTCCGTTTCTCTTGGCTATCTCCATATTAAAAGATCCCCAACATGCCTAGATATATATCCAACTACATGTCAACCTTGTCTTGGTCTTGTGCGAGCACCATCTTCTCAATGACTTCATAAAGACATTTCATAAACTTACTATCCCCTTGAATATTAGGGTGGTCATAGAAAAATATAGAATTAAGATAATATCCTGCAACATGCAAAGAGTGATGAAGCTTATCCTCCTGCCTTTTATCAATAATGTCACAAGCCTCAGAATATTTTGTTGTATCATTATTAAAGCTCTTGCAATGGCCTCCTTTGATGTATCCATCATCTCATAAATATATCCTATAGCAGGCTTCTTGTCGCCATCAACAAGCTTCAGAACACCAACCAGAGGAGCCATGAGCTTGAGAATACGAACAATGTTGTTCCAAAAAGACGATCTAAGAACTATCCTTTCAGCCGATTTACCTGTTGGATCTCTTACACACTTATTTTGCCTCCATTTTTCAAATTGAACATTTTCCTAAGGTTATTTGTTTAGATAAAGTCATTAATGAAGCGACAAATCGTGTCACTGCTGGTCTAAGGAGCTCTCTGCTGTTAGATTTACCTTTCATCAGTTGCAAAACCCATGCATATGAGTAGATGAATTCCGTCAACTCCATAGCTCGACTCAAGGTCAACTTCACACTTGGTAGTTAGTACTTGGCTCTGCTCTTGCGAGGCCCCTTACTGACTTTGTCTTGGCCCAACATCAAAGCTAAACTATAGATTGAAACCAAAGCCAAACTATTAGCTAGTACTTTCCAGATATTTCTAACTTATGTGACACTTGTTGATAATTCTAGTTATTTTAGAATTACAAATTAACGTCTAACAAACGATGCACATATGACACACTCGCACACAAAGATAAATATACGGAAGAAAGAGAAACACACCATGATCCTTTGCCCTTGAAACATCAACCCCATCACATTGAAGCGAGTCCTTGTAGAAATTGTTAGGGATTGGGACGTTCACAAATCCAACAGCATTAATCTCCTTCTCCTCCACTTCACCACCTTCACCCTCATAAAAAACCCCCACTTTCACCACTTCATCCTCATTAGTCTCCTCATCCAATTCAGAACAACCATGAGGTTAGTTGGTTACTTTGGTTTTTATCTTATATAGTTTGTCCTTTGTTGTATCAAAATTTTTATAAATGAAGGTCAGGAAGCAATGAACTAACTTTATTTGGTTTATAAGCATCAGAACTTTAAGCAAAATTTAGGCTTATTTATTAGCAAATGAGTTTTCTACATGCTTAACAGATTAGACTCATATTTTGTGCTGAGTATATTGCATCAATTGCAGTTCCAGCATGTAGTTTATATGGAAGTTTATCAGCTTTGAAATTTGTTTATTCTTTGTTCATTCAATATGATTTTCATATGATTTAGTGCAGTTCAGATGAGTTGAGTCGAGGATATTTTGCTGACATTTCAGAGATTCGTAAGAATGGTGGGAAGGTGCGCTTTTATATGTTGACCATTATTCAGCTCCTAATAGGTTTGTTTTTATGTAAATGTTTTTAAGTTGTATCACCTTTTATTATTTGGACTTACTAATATCAATCGCCAAATTAGCTGAAATTTGATTAAGTCTCCAAAAGATCATAATTTCTATTAAATCGCCAAATGGCTTAAGCTATAATAAATAAATCTCCATTGGTGAGTTTAATTATAGCTTCTCTTTTCTTTCTTCTCTCTTCATTTAACTCCTTGTCCTCCTTCCAATCTTCTCTCTCTAGGCCTTTTTTTAACTCTGTATGGTGTATATGCATGTCAGTTGTATTCTTAGGAGTTCAAGTCTACCTTCTCTTTAAATGTTTCATGATGGAAAATGTTAGTACATATATTGTTCAACTCAACTCTGTAGATGATACTTAGAACTTGTACCATAGTGGAAATGAATATGCATTTTTTCGATAATAAAGCTTACAGAGATAAGACTTGCATACATAAGTTCATTCTTAAAGATCGTATTGATTTGTCATTGCTTTAAAAGTATGCTATCCTTCAGAAAAGTTTAGTTGTTGCTTAATAAATATCTGTTTGTTGGTCGCCATCATAGTGTGTAATTTTCATTCATATGAGAAAATTAACGTATTGCTGTTGAAAACATGGGTTTTCACAATTATACCAGGCAGTGTTTTAAATATCGGCCGCCATGTACAATTATACCAGGCAGTGTTTTAAATATCGGCCGCCATGTCGGACATGGCGGGCGATATGGCGGATTTATACCCTATCCGTCACGATATCCTTCATTTCAATGCGTATTGCGTTTCTGAGGTCATGTCGGGGACATGTCGGAAAATATCGGGTATGTCGGGCGCCATTGCGGCCAAGAAATATCGGCCAAATTTTAGAAAAAGCGGTTTTAAGCTTATTGGGTCAAGTTTGAAAAACCCGACTCGGAAATCAGGTGTCTACAATTGGTTAGTGATCTTAACATCAATAAGTTATGTACTTTTTCATATGTTTAGACAATATAATTATCATGTATGTGAAGATTCTATTTATGATATTATATCAACCTATCCGATATGGCAATCCGATATTTTTTTTCATGTCCCCGATATATCCCCGATTTCCGCTATCCGACATGAATTTTGGCCAACCGACATGAACCCGACATCCGACATTTAAAACATTGATACCAGGTATGATATCATTTTTATTAAAAAGTATGAAACTCTGGAGTTCTAGGCGTTCAATGTCCATATTGTAACTGAAAAATGGACTTAATTAGATCAACGGTAGTGGTACCATATGTATGTATCCTAAGGAGGTGCGCGAGCAATATTGAGGAGTAATGTGTTAGTAAAATAGTCACATATCAAACCCGTAGGGAGTTACAAACATTTACATGAAAGCAGAACTAGACCTATCAGCTTAAAATGTGGATTTAGTCCCCCCAAGTATTTAAAATATGAGTGATATATGGTTAATAAGTTTGGGCTAGGACATTATTACTGCATTCCAACTTGAGGTAGATTAGATCCCAAGCTTATTAACCAATTCATCTCGGTATATACCGTCTCTTGATTTGGCCTTTGTGGAACCCTACAAGAGGTATGGAAGTTCAGACTGGCTCAATGGAATAGGTATTTGATGCTTATTTTGTAAAAGATTGAAATATTAATATATAGATGGGTGTCCCAAGCCTGATTCCTTTTTTGATGGGTGTTGAACCACTTGGTTCTTGTAGATTAGGTGGTACAATGAAAACTTATCTAAAGATTCACATGTTGGTGGAATTGGCAGCAACAGAAAAAGCGGAAAGCAGAGGACATAAGTATGGAATTCAATCTAAACCCATCCACTTAAATTTTTGGGCTTAGCTTAGGTTTGAGCATGTACGATTGCGCTCTGCATTTATCCTATTGACAGAGGGAGGGAGCCATTGGTTAATATGAAGCATTAATATCTCTCTTCCTATTCCATTCTTCGCAAAAATAGGGGCGCCCTATCCCTATGCAGCACATTTACTGCACTATTTCTTTGCAATTAAAGCCTCAAGAATCAACTCAACAATACCTGTGTAAAGCACAAAGTAACTGCACTTGCATGTCAGTAATAGCACTCCTGAACTGAAGAGAAATCGGCTGGTCCAATCACATTACAAACACCTCACAGTGTGTTCATATTGCACTAATTCTTCCTTTTCACTATAACAGTTTGTGTTACTTAAGTAAGTGGGTATCCTATTATCTTCTTGGAAGAATTTTTCAAAACAGACCCGCTTACTTTTTTTTTCTTAAAACCGACCCGTTTTTTTATTTATCAAAACCGACCCGATTTTGTAATTAGCAGCTTAATCACCATCCTAAACAGTCGGGGTTGGCAACCCCGACTATTTAGGAAGGTGTTAAACCCTAATTAGAAGCCTTAAACCCTAAAAATTAATGTCCTAAATAGTCGGGGTTGCCAACCCCGACTGTTTAGGAATGTGATTAAGCTGCTAATTACAAAATCGGGTCGGTTTTGATAAATAAAAAAAAAACGGGTCGGTTTTAAGAAAAAAAAGTTGAAGCGGGTCTGTTTTGAAAAATTCTTCTATCTTCTTGCTATCATTAGGTAGTAATGATAGTAAGATGGCAGGAGAATAAAGTCCATAGTGCATATTGATGGTTAAAGAAATACCAAAAATCAATCGTTATTTAGGATCAATCATTAGTTATGACAGTGAGATTGAGGATGATGTTGTCCGTCGAATCAAATTGGGATGGTTAACATGGAGGGTGCTTCCAGAGTCTTGTCCAATCATATAATACCTATGAGATTAAAGGGAACACTCTATAGGGCAGTTATTAGACCAACAATGCTTTATGGACCAAAATATTGGGCAATTTAAAAATGTGTGCAAAAAATGTGTAGCAGAAATGAGGACATTTTGATGGTCTTGTGGGTACACACTAAAAAATAAGAAATGAGTGCATACGTATGAGAGTAGAGGTTGCGCCTCTTGAGGATAAAATGAGAGAATCATACGAGATGGTCTGGTCATGTACAATGGAGACCTTTTAGAGTACCAATTAGGGGAAAATGATAATATTATAGTTAATAGGGTAATGACTTCTAGTGGAAAACCTAAAAGAACTTGGTTTGGAAGCAATTAAGAAGGATTTGATAATAGTTAACTTAATGGAGGAAATGATCCAAAATAAAACTGAATAAAGGAATAGGATTGATGCAGAATGCAGTTGATCCTAAAATCTGGGTTAAAGGATTGGTTGTTCTCGAAGAAGTATCTTTCTATCATGTATTGTGTACATGTATAGTAGCTTAGTTACTTGTATGAACACCCTATGATCGGTCCTTCATACTATGATTCAGAAAAGTTATGACCTTTGGTTTCTCCATTATGTATGTCATGATGTATGCTGTTGTTCGTTATGAACCAAATTACAAATTAAGCTTAATAATATCAGTAAAGTAGCTGCCCACACTTTTGGTAGGTGCATTATGGTAATTTATAGTTGTCTCAGTGCTCTCTATTTTGAGGTCCAGAGAATCTGATTTTTTTGTGCTCGTGCCTGATTGTGAATGTCCATCTCATTAATAGTTTTACAGTAATATATAGTAGTTTTTCTGATCAGGAAGATATCAACTCATGCAGATTGCTATGGCTAATAAAACTCTCATTCCACTGTTGGAAGCAATAAAGTTTCCTGATCTTGAAGTAAACTTGTCCAACGGCAGCAGTTTAAAGCTACCAGTTACATCTGGAGAAAGTACTGCACACATCGATGCTCCTCTAGCATCACTATTATGTCTTTCTTTCCGAGCGAGTTCTCAGGTATGGGAACACTCTTATGTTTACTTCATCATTCATCTAAATTAGTAAGTGTTTTTTGTTAACATTTGGAATTCTTTGGTACATGTTGGAAGAGATAACATCAACCTAGATGAAATATCGTGTTAACTAGATAATCACTCTCTAAAAACAGTTCACGAGGAATTCGGTTAAAATTTGTGAGTGTCTTCTATATTTTGGTATACTTACATGTGGCATACTTGTTTAAGGGAACAACTGTCCTTAACGTGATTTTAGAAGGCTCCATCTATCTAGGTCTTGCCTGTATATGTTGAAGTTGACCAGTATTGTCTTTTGGAGTTCTGGGTTTTGTCAGATGTTGCCATATGCAGCAGTTTCCTTGAGGATATACCTAAAAGTCTTAGTAAAGAAACACGTCGGATGTTGGAACATGCAGCAGAGCTCTTTGAGGATATATCTAAAGGCTTAACAAAGAAATAAGTCAGATGGTGGGATTTGTGGGATATGCAGCAGTCTCTTCAAAAACATACTTTAAAGGCTTTCCCATAAGCAGTCTTACTCTTAGAGGTGCTTATTCACAACTACTTGTGAAGGATTTGTGGTCCCTATTGGTGTGGGTTTGTGCTTGTAAACTCACCTAATAATGATAAATTTCTATAACCATTTTTTGTTGTGTCATGTTCTTAATCAACTGAACTTTTGTCTTCAAAGGCTTATTGAAGCTCTTTATTGTTATGCATTGTTGTATGGCACTTCAGGAATGCTTTTTTATTTGTAATATTGGTTTATAGTATGTGGAGTATATAGATAAAGGGTAAGCACATTGCTCCAATTTACCCTTTATGGGAGATGTATGTGTTAGGTTTGATTATCTCATTTCAAATTGATGGAAGGACTATTAATTTTTTTTTTCCAATAATATAATGTTGCATTCTACTCTCAAGTTCTCTGGTGAAACTCCGATTTCATTTCAGGAACTTCAACAAATCAATGAAGGTGACACGCTACTTTCTATTATTTTTAGTAGTATATTTCCTTAAGTTGACATATTTCCATCTGCCATGTAAGTGGATCAACTAAGTCAAGCATGACATTTAGTGTTGTAGCTTCTTTACATTCTTTCTCTGATATTTTGTATATGTATTTTTTGCGACGGTAGAGGGTCATGAACCTTACTCCACAGGACATTTAAACTTTTTATTGTTCAATGCCTCTATATTACATTGTTCAAGAGATTTAATCTTAGAAATTGTATTCTAATAGGGTTTTCGACGTATCTATTCTTTCTAACCCCAAAATCTTTGGTATTTTGAAAACAAACTTGCAAGTGTCGCTATTTGTGCCCATTAAATCATGTAGAGATGCATTAGTCTACCCTATAATTACTGTAACTGTAAGAGAAGCAAATGAAAATATTCTGTATATTTCGGTTAAGATAATTATTATTTCAAATATACTAGAGTACACCTATTTACTTAATTAAAAGTATTATAACCATTGATGTATTCTTCTTCTCACTCTTGAACGCCCATGAGAGGCTTATTTGATCACAATAAATGATTTCCCAAACTGCTATATGTTTGTCCTGCTAGTTTTAAATTGCAAGGTGTTTTAAATTGTGGTCTGATCTGTTATTTTTTTAAAAACAATACTGTTTCTACAAGATAAAATCTGTAAGTTGCAAGTTTGTAATTGGTCCTCTGAGGGCTTTCTGGACGTTTTTCATTTTAGCTCATGTTCCTTATACTTCTTTTTCTGTTCTTGTAAAAATTCCCTCTGAAATTTCTACTGGACATGAGTTTTGCATTAATTAGTTTGAATTTTGACTGGGATTGTCACAATCAAAATATTACGTAGGACCACTAAGGTATGTCAAAGATGATTATCCATAATACCAAAAAGATGGAAACATACTGGGATGAAGTTATGTAGTGCTGTGTAAGATATTAAACGGACTAAATGAAGAGTTGTTGGAAGGTTTTGAGTCTTTTTGGAGGCCTGAGTGTTCATGTGTGGATACAAAGGGATGCTGAATGATTGACGTGCATACATTCTTTGAGAGTAGTGGTAGGAGGGCATGAAATGAACAATTCCATGGACATGTCCGTGAGACTTACCCTTACTATTTGCATTGGCACTAAACATATTTGTCCACCAATCATTCCGATTAAGGATGGTAGGAATACAGATTTTATGCCTGTCGAGGATAATAGAAGTAGGCCCATATGGATGTTCCTCATTTATTTGCCTGCAAAATTGCAATAACATTGATGATCATTATTCTGCGTATAAAATTAGCTTTAGTACATGTATTTAAAAATGTATTTAACTTGATAAATGGAAATTTGTCCAAGTTGTTTGTAACTGAATGGTCTCTTATTATTTTCCGAACAGACAATGGTTGAATCGTGGAGTGTTCCTTTTGTGCATGCTTTTAATGACTCGGCAGAAGTCCAAGTATATGAGGTAAGGACAGAGATTAATTGCTTTTTTCTGTATATGAATTTGTTCTTCTGTTTCTTGCAATAGTTTATGTTGTTTTCTTAGCAGTAATGTTTTGAGCACCATATTACTTTTTATATTTTATTATCTGAGAGAACTTAGCTTATCAAAGGTTTTGCTGACTGACTAATTACTCGAGTTCCCATTTATCCAAATAGAAAAATAACGCTTTCCATATGTTTTTCAAATTAACTTAGTAAGTTTTAAACCCTTCTTCAAGCATCATTAAATTAATGGTCAAGTTTCTTTATCCATCTGAAATCACATCGTGTTGGTAATACGGTTTGTCCACCATAAGCAGTCATCTTCGCATATATCTGTTGATTGTCCTTGTTGATGGAGTCCTTTGACCTTCCAAATATGAATCAATAGCTGTCGAGTGCTGAGACTTCGTGATGCAGGGCACAATCACTATTCAGATTTGATCCGGATTGAAGATAGTTTGTTATGATTTTAGATTTGGTTTTGGTTTTAGATAGGTGAGAGATAATTATTTTGTTTAATTGTTTTGATTTGAATTGTGTTAGGATTGAGTTTGTTGGATTATTTTCTAGTTAAGATTGAATTAGTTTTAGAGATAGGATAAGTTTTTGAATTTGTTTTAGATAAGAATTCCAAACTCTATAAAAAAGGGAGGACATTTCTGTAATTTAGTAGAGAGGTTATGAAGAATTAATGAAAGTTGAGTTGAAGAAAATCTTGTGTGATTTTTCTAAGGCGGAAGGCATTGTTTCTCGGTGTGAAGCCGAAAGGGTTAAGTGTCAGCGTGTGAATTAGACTTAACTAACAGTTAGATGTCTGTGAGTGAATCTGATCTAACCTCATTTTATTTTACTTTGTTTGTTTTTTTATTTTATAAAAAATAAAATAAAGAAAAGAAAAGATACTGTTCACTCATGCTGTTCACCCGAGGGTTCCGGCGCTTCTCTGTCCTGCATCACTTCGCTTCGTTGTAGCAGGACTTCTTGGACACAGCTCCATAACCTGATAACTGTTAAGGATTCAGTCCTAAAGAATTTCTGCTGATTAGTCATTGTATACTTCCTTCTAGGGATTTTCTCCTGTATTTCTATGTAACTGATTTATAGAATCTATCATCTACACAGGTCTCTTTTGTGGACTCCTGGTTACTATCACTAGGTCCAGTGAGGAAGATGTTCATCAAAATGATGAAGAAATCTGCTTCTCCCCAACGACAGATTGTTTATTCTTTTGGTGACCACTACTACTTAAGAAAGAAACTGCAAATCTTAAATCTTCTCACTGGGTAATATTGATATAAGTTCATGACTAAACTCATCATTTTGTACATGAGTTACTAGCAGTTATATATTTGATATTCTTTCGACTTGCAGATACATTTTCCTGCTGGATAGGTTTGGGAGAATTAGATGGCAAGGTTTTGGTTTGGCAACAGGGGAAGAAGTGTCATCTCTTTTGTCATGTGCCTTACTTTTGTTGGAAGAGAAATGAGGCAAATTGATTTGTTGTATTATGTTTTTGGCATAGCAGCAAATTTTGTATTGTCTAATTAGCTAGTCATGGTCCTGTTATCATGAATTTTTTGGTGGGAATAAAGTTGAGTCTAAGAAGCTGCGAATGTTTAGCTCTGCAATTTGTTATACATGCTTATTCTTGAATGATAATATGATCTTTCAACAGTTTTTATTTATTTTTGGCAAAAGAGGTTTATGCACTGGTCTCTACTTATTATTGAGAGCCTGTAAGCATTACCGCAATTGGCATATAATCTTTGCAGATAATGCAAGTAGAGCAGTCAGAAGATGATTACAATATCTTCATACTTTCCTCCTTTTTGTTGTTTCTGATTCTTCTATATCTCTTTGAGATTTTAAAGTCATTGTGCATTTTAGCAGATCCTCAACTTCTAGCCGTGGTCCATCTGTGGTCCATTCAAAAAGAGACATGAATATGGGCATTGATGGAGCCAACACTGAGATTTAATGGAAATGGCGAACATCGAAAATAGTACGAAACCTTTTCGGTCCTGCAGGCTGCTGATATGCCAGTAACTTTTAATCTTCAAATCTGAGACATTTTGGTCTCATTAAGGTATGTTTCAAACCTCTACTATCACTGTTTATATTATGATCTTTTGGGCTTTGAAGGAAGCAATTCTCCTCTATTTGCTTTCAGTTTAACTAGCATAAATATGCGTTTTTGTGCTTGCGTATTTGAGAGGGAAAACAAGAAGAAAACTTGTTTATTACATAACAAGGTTTTATGGTTGTCGATATGCTATTGACTTTATTTTCAATCTTGTGTTTCTATCTGGAAATCTCAATTATTATGTTTTATCTTGCAATCCTTCTTCTTAACTACTACTAGTGCATTTCTATGTCTTCTCTCCATCCTATGTTTGTAATTCCAAACCTATTTCTTTTTTGGGCATCGTGTCCTGATTACTAAAGAAAGATGCGCTATTAACTTTTAGTCTTCAAAATCTTGAACATTTTTGTTTTGGGCTTTTTCCTACAAAGCACCTTAAAAATTTAGTAATTATATGAAAACCACTTTTCATTTTCAATCGGTACATAAACCACCTTAAAAGTGGGTTTTTTTTTGGCAATCAACCACCTCCTATTCAAATTTTCACTAAAAAAAGCCAAAAATACCTCACAAACTTCAAGTTCAAAGTAAACGAGTTGAATCGTAACGAAATCTAAACACCAAAAAATTGAGTCATTTGCCTTGAATGTGAATTTGAAAGGGTAATTTAGTGAAAATTTTGACTATGGGGTGGTTGATTGCGACAAAAACCCCCTTTGAAGGTGGTTTATGTATAAATTAAAAATAAAAAGTGGTTTTGGTACGTATTTTTGAGGTGGTTTGTGGGGAAAAGAAAAAACCCCTTTGGGTTTTCTTCAAAGGGATGTTGCAATCCTCGCTAACTATCACCAAGGTATGTCTCAAACCCCTTCCTTCTACCTGCCTAGTATGATCTAAGATTTTAGAAGAGGTTATTCTTCTTTATTTCCTTCTTAGTTTAATTAGGATATATGGGTCTTTGACTTTGTATAAAGAGTGAGGACAACGGCGACAACCTGTTTTTGTGAGGTAACAAGGTTTTGTGGTTGCTAGGAGCAAAGGGGAGCAAAATCTGTGGTTAGGTATGGTGCAATTTTGGGCTTTTCCCCATATACATTTGCCTCTCTCCTCTGCTGCAGTCTCCGCACTGCATGCTGTTGGGACTGGGGAAAAAAAGGGAGAGGAAAAAAAAAAAAGAAAGAAAAAGAGAAGGGTAGTAAGCTCCTGTAGATAATGGAGAAAAAACAATGGGAAAGAGAACAAAGAGCAAAAAGGTAGGAGAAAGCGATCTAAATTTTATGCGCAAAAGGAGAAGAACAGGATCAAGGTTCACATCCTTCCAAAAATCCCAAAACCCACCAGCAAGGCAAAGGGGTTTAAGAAATGAGAGGAAAACCATAAAGGGAATCAGCAGGAGATTGAGGTGTTGTCTATGCAGACGCTAGTGTTGATAATCATTTCAACTTTTGCCTTTTAGCATGGTGTTGTAGCAGGGCAAGTGGTGTTCGTATTAGGGTGGATGGGTCTTTGAAATTTATATTGTGCTTCGCTGGTTTTTTTTTTTTTTTTCCCTGAAGATGATTTCCTTTTGAATCTGCACCTGGAACTGTTTTTAGTTATTAGGTATTTGGCAATTAATGCTAATGTTATTGTACATTCTGTACTACTTTAGTATTACAAGCTACTGAGGTTTTTTCTTATCTGGTAGTACCAAAGTGGAATCGTCTTCAAGCATCAAATTAGTATTGTCTTATAGTATCAGAGTAGTAGCGTGATGAAATTAGGGTACAATTAACATTACTTTTTACTGTTCCATTTTCACAAGAAGTGGGATAATTGTTGAAGTGGGATAATTTTTTGAAAGTGGGACATTTTAGTGGGATAATTGTTTGAAGTGGGATATTTTGATAAAATGATGCGGGATAATTTATGATAATAAAGAACTATATATTTTTGTATTTTGATTATATAACTACTATTTTATATATTTAAACTTACTATTATTTATTAATTATTGTTTAATATAATATTAGTTACTGTTGAATAACTTTTGGCCAGAATGCAATATATTGTTAATAATTACTATAATAATACTTCAGTTTTTTTTTGTGAAGTATTATAGTATGGGTCTAAAAACAAACATCTTCCTCATTTT